AATATTGAAAAGATTCCCCAGGCATGTGTAATATTGAAAAGACTACCCAGGCATGTGTAATATTGAAAAGACTACCCAGGCATGTGTAATATTGAAAAAATCCTCAGGCATGTGTAATATTGAAAAGACTACCCAGGCATGTGGAATATTGAAAAGATTCCCCAGGCATGTGTAATATTGAAAAGACTCCCCAGGCATGTGTAATATTGAAAAGACTCCCCAGGCTTGTGTAATATTGAAAAGACTTCCCTAGGCATGTGTAATACTAAAGTCTCCCCAGACATATGTAATATTGAAAAGATCCTCTGGCATGTGTAATATTGAAAAGACTACCCAGGCATGTGTAATATTGAAAAGACTACCCAGGCATGTGTAATATTGAAAAGACTACCCAGGCATGTGTAATATTGAAAAGACTACCCAGGCATGTGTAATATTGAAAAGACTACCCAGGCATGTGTAATATTGAAAAGATCCTCAGGCATGTGTAATATTGAATAGACTATCCAGGCATGTGGAATATTGAAAAGATTCCCCAGGCATGTGTTATATTGAAAAGACTACCCAGGCATGTGTAATATTGAAAAAATCCTCAGGCACGTGTAATATTGAAAAGACTACCCAGGCATGTGGAATATTGAAAAGATTCCCCAGGCATGTGTAATATTGAAAAGACTCCCCAGGCATGTGTAATATTGAAAAGACTCCCCAGGCATGTGTAATATTGAAAAGACTCCCCAGGCTTGTGTAATATTGAAAAGACTTCCCTAGGCATGTGTAATACTAAAGTCTCCCCAGACATATGTAATATTGAAAAGATCCTCAGGCATGTGTAATATTGAAAAGACTACCCAGGCATGTGGAATATTGAAAAGATTCCCCAGGCATGTGGAATATTGAAAAGACTATCCAGGCTTCTGTAATATTGAAAAGACGTCTTTAGGAATAAACAATATTAAAAAGACTCCTTAAGTATGTGCAATATTTACAATTGATTTTCCAGGTATGTTTAATTGTCAGCCACATGTGCCACATTTACCAATATCAGTTGCCATTTTCTGAATATTTTATTGACAATACCCTGCTGATTCTTTTCTCAGTGATACCATCTTTGCTGGTGGTTCTTTCCTGTTCAATTCAACCAATCAGAGCCGCTGGTGTTTTGTGTTTGAAGACCATTGCTAAATCATGTAGTGATGTCAGTTCTGTGTACCAGTCACTAATCACTACCCTAATCTCTCACACTGAAGAGATTACAGCTGATCCTAATCACATTAAACAGGTAATAGTTAATAATTGTCATAAGTGACTATCAAGTCATGGTTTTAATCTTGTCAGTCATTCTCTGGGATATTGTAGCAAGGAATTATGGGATACAAATGTGTCAAATTTCACAAATGAATCTGCAAACAATTTTTTCATATTAATTTTCATCAAGATTAGTAGCCTATAGAAAATTATGACTATATTTTGTCTAAAACAAATAAAGAAATTGAGAAGAAAAAAAAATATATATATATAAAATTGTGCAAAAGATTGCACCAAAATATTGTTGGGAAAAAAGGCCATCTTTCTTATGATATTCTACTTATTAGTTTATGAATATTTTATGATTATTAATCATTCATATCTAATGTTTTCTCATCAGACGTTAGAGATTCTTTTTGCCAATGTTATCATAGTTACAAAGTCAGTAAGCCCAAAGAAGAAATCTACCAAACAGGATAGTGACATTAGGATGTTGTTATCTTGCTTGTTGGACATCGTTGTTAGCACTGATGTGCCATATCACGTTCAACAAAATCTTTTGGCTGTCTTATCTAACGTCAATAATAAGGTAAGCTATTCTCAAAACTTGGATGCAAGATGGTACATTGCTTTTGTACAAAATCATGCATATTGAATTAAATAATTTGCATATACATGTAATATGCAAAATTTGTAGTTCCTTAAATTCATCTAGTATGCACATGACTCTGCATTTTAAAGCAGTTTTGAGCCAATCTCTGGTTTGCTGGCTAACTCCACAAAATATAAGGTATCCCTGAAACCCACAATAGCTGATTGGCTATGCATCAAAATGCATTCTCCCAACAATAGTACAGTGGTTGTTGCATCAAATTATGTAGACCCAAGTTCAAATTCTTACTTGTGTCGAACATCAGGATGGATCGACCTCCAACCCTGGGTGATTGTGCCACAGACTCAATTGTAAAGCAAAATCTATTTACTAACATGTGCAACTTTAGAAGAACCTTTGTTACGGTCCAAAGGGGTCTGTGTTCAACTAAGCATTGATGAAGCTAGGATAGCACATTCAATTGTCATAATGTATTTATGATAGGAAGGTGGTTGTACAGATCCTTCACTAAACCCAGACAATATATTACATGAAATGTGGTTGTGATGGCAGAATGCACTGTATGTCAGCACTACCACATGGACTTTGCAGATAAAAAAAGTCTGCACTGCACTGACAATTCATCGTCACTAACTTTCACCTGGCAGGAAAAAACGTTTTTTTTTTTCAAAACGCAGTAAAATCCAGCATGAATCCAATTCAATATTGTTATTTAATGTTATTTACATTTTGTTGTAGATGATGCTGTTTAAATTATTACCAATGCTGGAGAATAAATTGGAGAAGATGAAACAGAATAATTTGTCCAAAGCGGAGTGCTTAACTGTACAATGGATTATACGTCAGTATACAAACGTTGTCACCGAGGTCTTAGAAGATGACTCCCTGGCATTGGATCTATTCATGAAATGCTTAAATCTACATGAGCGCCTTCACAACACGGTAGCATCACCACAAGAGCTAGTGCTTCAACAGGTATGTGTGTAATTGAAATTGAATTGTTGTCAAAACTTAGTTGATAGCCCGTTCAATTTTGAGTATCTTGGCCAAAAATCAAATCTGGAAGTTACAGACCCAAATCTGATGTACATGTATTGTGGTGTTTATCGACTAAATTATTATTTGTCATTACTGCCATAAATGCAGTTTTAATTCGAACTCTATGCGTGCTAAACTCAACTACCCTAGTACTGATTTCAATGCCCATACATATCTTGAGAGGGTATTAAGATGTATATTCAGATATAATTGATTGATTTTGTTTATTTTTATATCTTGAGCCAATTTAGGAATTTGCGTACTTCAATATAACCTACATTTTATTCTGTGTTATTTCCCTGATAGATAACCAAAGAGTTTTATTCCAGTATCCCATCATCCTCAGTTCAGCAAAGTATACTCTGTCTATTATTTGACCTCCATGTTGACAGTACAAGTTCACAGACAGCTACACTGATCAGTAAGACTTTAAAAGGAGTAAGTAGACGTGTGCTGCATCCTTTCAAACATGTGATGCATCCTTTCAAACATGTACTGCATCCTTTCAAACATGTACTGCATCCTTTCAAACATGTGCTGTGTCCTTTCAAACATGTGCTGCGTCCTTTCAAACATGCACCTCCTGTTTTTAAAATGTGCCATCACTGTACATACATTGTTGCTTCTGTGCAGTCATGTGTTTCATCCTTCTAACTATGCGCTGTTTTTGTGTAGACATACACTGTTTTGTACAGACACATGCACCTCCTGTTTTTAAAATGTGCCATCACTGTACATACATTGTTGCTTCTGTGCAGACATTTGCTGCATCCTTCAAAACATGTGCTGTGTCTGTACAGATGTTTTACTCGTACATACCTGTATCAATTCTCTTCATACATACCAACTACAAAATGTATGTACAGACATGATATTTTATTTTCCATTAGTTACGACTTGACGCTGAACAGATAATCATTGAACTGAACAAAGTCAACAAATGCACTGGAGCAGCCACTGTCAAACAAGCAAAGCGAGTTAAAAGGTATTATTTCTTTTAAAAATTCACAAATGTGATAAATGTTATAAAATGGCCATTATGTCTCGGACACTATAGTGTTTTGGTTTCATACATTTCTCTAACTTATTAGAATGTACAATTCCCCTCATAAAAAGAATGTGCACATCCATTATGTTCTTACTGTATATGCAATTTCCACTGAACTTATATAAACATAAAAGGAATATTTTGTTTTTCCTAATTTGTGTTATTAATCCGACTTTCTACCCTGGCTTTAAACCAATCATAGTTTTGACTAAACAGATACATACATTGTATACATGTATAGTGTACAGGAATGCATGTAGGAAAGATATTCTGTAATACATAATTTAATGTCAATTTTCTATTTAGGCAAGAGAAGGCAACAGATGATGGTGATAATGTCTTTGAGAGCAGAGAATGGATGCGAATTACTCTGATTTGTGAATTTTTACAACACAAAAAGAAAATCAACAATTCTCAGCTTCTTGTTCCTGTTCTGTTTAACCTTCTGTCACAGTAAGTCAATTATAGAGAGAGAAGACTGAATTGGGGGGGGGGGGTAGTTGGATATTGGAGGGTAACAATACTGGGATAAGTGAATGGGTAGAAAAATTAATTCAATGGATAGGGAGAGGGAATGATGGAGGGTAAGGTGGTTAAATAATACAAGTCATTTCCACTGGAAAGTCATTTAGATATTCCATGCAATGTCTCTATACTATATCTTCATTTGAATTACATCTACAGTGAAAATAAAGAATTTACCATACACTCATCTCTTATTGAACACTGCCCTCTTGTGGCCATGACTTCCATTTTTGACAAATAGTTGTGTGCAATTTTCTCAGGATTTAGAGGGAGAGAGGGTGAGTGAGTGAGGAGGGAGGGGTTCAGTTTATGTTTATAAATTATCATTCTCCTATTGAATTATCAGTTTCCAATTGTCAGAGTAGCTGCAAAGTAGCCAATCAAGTGGTCTGCTATCATCTTCTAATGAAAAGTCACTGTGTTCCAGGATGATGTATAACTATTTCATGACTGAAATTATTTCATGATGGCCAGCAATGGCTAGATAGTATCTGACTGGAACAAAACATCAACTTTACTGTTTTACAAAGAGAAAATATGTTTCATTTCTGTATGATCTTATACCAATTATCATTTGATGTAGGTGCTTTGAAGCTGAGACAGCTGACCAGATTTCTACGGAATATATTAAACAGTTAATACTGAGTTCTATACTCAATATTTGTAATAAACTTTCACCGGACAACAAACCGTTGCCCTCAGGTAAGTACAATGTTAGTGTTCTGTATTAGCACATTGGAAGCTACAGAGATTTTACTCTGTGCAGCATGCTACACACCATTGCATCAACTGTGAATTGAATAAAATTATGTGTAGCTTAGTTGACTTAAATTTAAAGACTTGTTTCAGTTGAAATACATTTATATCTGTTTAAAAATCAGAGTAGCTTAGGGTAACTTATGAAGTTGAGAGAAATTTGATAACACAGTACATGTATGTTGTGTAAATTACCCCAAAAATTATCCAAAGTTTATGATAAATCAAATAATAGAACTCCATTCCCCAAGTATTGAAATTATAGTTCATCAAAATTTGTATAGTACTTTAGAGTATCAGAGGTACATTACTAAGGGTTTGCAACTACAGTGACATGATACCAAGATCCCGTTTCAATCTCGCTCACGCATAAGCGTTCCAACTCAGAAAAATGCGAAAGCGCATGCCCGAGGTAACTGGGATGTCCAGGTAGATCAAAATAGCTGTACACGATATGACGGATTACGGTAACTATATTTTCTGTACATTTTTGATGTATTACATTTTTTCGCTATGAATGTGGTAATACATGTTTTATTACAAACCGCCTATGTCATGTCAGAAGGTCGTAGCATCAGTCTTGCTATCTACGACATGAGACTTTATTATGGGATCTTGGCATGTCACCATACAGTACTATGCCTGTTGCAAACCCTAGTAATGTACCTCTGATAATATTTATTGTACATGATTTCCCATATTTCATTATTTCTTGTACCTAAATATGTTTGAGTTGTTTCTTTAATTCTAACTGTCATGTTATTCTCAAGATGTACTGACTGAAGAGCAGTTTAAAGTTGAGTTGATAATTCAGTGCATACGAGTCTCGGACAATCCACAAACGCATCACCATGCCATGTTGCTATTGGCAACTGCTGCTGGTATATTTCCTGTAAGTATTATTGCTCAAACTGATATTGCTAATACGTAACTGTTGTGATAATTATTGATTCTTTGCTATGAGTATTGCATTATGATCCTGATTGTTGTTGTCTTGGTTACAGGAACATGTACTTCATAACATCATGTCAATCTTTACGTTTATGGGAACTAATCTACTACGGCAAGATGATTCTTACAGTTCTCAAGTAATCAATAAAATTGTTGAAACGGTAATACCTGTCTTGATTAAGGTGAGAAGAATTTTATTTATTTTTAAAAGGGGAAAAATATTCTTTTTTTCTAGGTTTCATAACTGCTGTACTAAAGGCTAGATTGGGTTTCATTGTGATATCTGTACGAAATAACACGTTGCTTCTAAATAAACCTGCTTTAATTGGAAATTTCCTTTTTTGATCGTGACTGGAATTCCTGTCACCACAAATGCCATGACAGTTTAACACTTTATAAAGTGGAAATTGCGAAGTCGCATTTTTCATGGAAACAATTTTGGGTGTTGTTATTTACGTCTTCTTTATGTGATGGAACTTTTCACTCTGCCAAATATCAAAAATTTGCTGGGCTTTTGAACTTTTCTGCATTAAATCATGTTAGCATTGTCTTTTCTGAATGTATGAATGAGTTACTCATGGTACCATAAAAATTAAGTACTTCTGATAATCCAAGGTTTGGATAACTGACAGTTGAGCCGCACAACGTCCAGACAAATTCTGTAATTTCATTTGCATTATTGAAAAAGTGATGTACCGGTATTTACATTTATGTGGGCTGACAGTATTCATTGGATTCGCATTGGTACATGAAATCACATACAATAATTTGTTGGGAAAACAAATATTTTCCAACTCACTGGTTACATAATTTAAAACAAATGTGGCCAATATTTTATCTCGGCTTTTGATTGTCCATGGTCTGCATCAATTTTTACTTTTTCTTCTTGAAAACTACAAGTCTAATTGCTTTGATAATTGTTGTTTATGTACCTTGGGTAGATTTGTTCGTTTTGTGATGATATCTTCAATTCTTTAATGTTTGATGAATATTTTGTCATATTTGATAAAAAGTGATATTTTTGACTTCTAGTTGAAAACCACAAGTAGATTGCTTTGATTAATATCATATAGGCACTACATGTGGACATCTCAGATTTGTTCATTTCAAGATGATATCTTCAATTAAAAAATGTATTGCTATCAGCAGAGCTATCTCAGCTGAGAGGCTGCTTGTTTTCACCCATCAAATGTCAATGCATTTATCATTAAGAATTTTTTAAATAACATATGTTAAAGCGCGAGATATATGGGTCTCGTATAAACAAAGATGGTGATTTCGACTGTTGCGCAAACAACGAGTATGTTTTCAAGCTTTAATTAGGTAATTTTCATGTGATTGGAAGGTATCGAAAGAGTCACCAGCGGTAATCAGTGCAAATCGCGCCCAGGTTAAAACTCGTACTTGTGATTTCCATTTGAAGAGCGCATTGGATTATGGGAAAATCAATGTTTATCAATACAAATGTCGCACATGCGCAGCGCGACGACTGCCGCGCTTTAAATTCAATAAGAAACAACTTTTTCCAAACATTAATGGTTTTCCTGAAATCCTAATGTGTGACATTGTTCTTGGTGTTTCTTGCAGTAGCCTTACACCAATGCAAAGTAGAATGTAATTACTGTTATCTATACTTTGATATGTTTGTTTCTGATCAGGCAAGTGAGGAAGAAATCCTAAAAGAAAAACTTGGAGGAGGGATAGATGAGATTGTTGCCATGGTGATCCAGGTATTCGTTGATGCATTGCCACACATTCCTGCTCATCGTAAACAGCCGGTGTTTCATCAACTGATTGGTACGCTTGGAGGAGACAGATTTTTGTGGATGACTGTCGTACTGTTGTTGGTATGCCATGTAGACACATCTACACAGAAGGATGACGTGGTTGATAAGGTTAGCTACAGTTACTGTAATTTCTATCAAATGATTTGGTAATAAAAGAAATATCATTAGGTATTGTTTTTGGTGAGACTGATACAATCGCGAACATCTCTAGCTGCACAAATTCATGTGTAACCAGAACATAAACACATTACCGTTTTGTTTCAGGAAAATCCATTTGAAAACATGTCATTTTTGCCATGCTAGTGTATATAGTGTCAGTACAGTTAGTATTTGCACTATTGTAATTGCTTATTGCATAACTGCACTATTGACCAACAAATTTGCATAATTTTTTTATTGCATGCTAACATGAACAAAAATGTATATTTTTTTCTTGAAGGCTTGATTGGCTTGAGTCAAAACCGGAGTATAAATTTGGTTTTGCTTGTTTATAAAAATGTGCATCAAATCTGTATAAATGTATAGCTCACAGTGATAAATACCTAATTATCTCACCATCTGTGTAATGGTATGATGTACAGTGTTTATGCCAGGCAAATTACAGTCATTATGTGTATGCAAAACAGAAGCTGATGTGTAGAAAAATCATGTCAACAAGAAAGCAGCTTTCTGATTGGTCTTATTGTTGGGCGTTAGGCACAATTTTGTTAGCTTTGTATTGACTCTAATTGTAATTGTCCTAATTTTTTCATATTTCATTTACAGGGTATCACTGGTTTGAATACAGATATTGAATTCTGTCTGTCAATCTGTAATAACTGTGCACCCCATGTGCAAGTCAATAATATGATTAAAATATTGAAATATCTTGGCACATTGCCAGAAGACAAAGAAGGTAATTATATATTAAAATATTATATATTAAAACATAATATTTTATTAAGAGTTGAAACTGAATCAAACTTTGAAAGATTTATAAATAAGGGTTTACAAAATGTGAAGATTTCGCATGATTTGAAGAAGAGTTGAATAAAATGAGATGATCATTGAAACCCAATACAAACAATACATTTCTAGAAATACTGACGCAAATGAGTGTGTGCTGTTTATGTAATCATACCCTAATTTTTGTCGGCTTCATTTGCATAATTATGAAAAATAATTATACTTTTCAACCCAAAATGGCCAAGAGTCACGATTTACTTCATTACGCTCAGATTCCTTACATAAAATATATTGTTTTCGCTCATTTATACCCCTACTGTGCGTTATACATGTTACACTTTATACCTCTAAACATGAGAAATCATGGTATATTGTCTATTTAACAATAACTTTGCACAATTAAAAACATGCTCTCGTAAAATGATGAGATATTTATGCAAATTAAATGCTGGTATAAAATAGAAACACAATTCTGATTTTTAGAAATTATTTTTTTGGCATTCTTTGTTATCACTGGTATTCAAAAGTTGTACGTGGACTTATTGAAATTGAAACCCACTGTTTATTCTTGTTACCAGTTATGTGTCTAATATAATGTTGTCTTATTCAGAATCTGCAACCCCTCACAAGAGAATCATAGGAACAAGACGGAAATCACAACTTAAGAAAACTCATCAATTATTTGATGTTGAGAAACATACAGCTAAACAATTAAGACAGTTCAAATATACTGTGGTTAATTTCATCCCCCATTTAATATCTAGTTCTACTTACATTAGTCAGGTAAGTTTTCCTGCTGTTGTGAAATACTGCCCTCATGTGGCCATATTGAATTTTGTGTGTATTTGTTTATTTTCTTCTGCATTTTGTAATGACTTCCAAGTAATCTCGATTATTATAGCATTATTCTAACCAAAGATTGTTTATGATGTTCGTAGAAAGATTGTTGAGTTTAAAACTTGAGAATATAATGTGTTTGTTTTTTGATATTTCAGGTTGCAGCTTTGTCAGTAGAGGAAACAAACACTATGAAAACACTATATCAAAGGTAGAACACACTGTACAGTTTTCAACGACATGCTCTTACTGATGAATTTAAGCAGGTTCTGAAATCAAGTTACATTAATTTTATAACATTACACACTAAGTTAGAATTCTTTGCTTTATCTTTGAAAGTCATTTACATTGTAGGGACATTATGTTTGACCAAGGGTTAAGAACCTCTTATTTCAAAATGAAATGTAGGACAATGTCATTGCATGATATCTACCATTATTTCGTTATTTTTACACTTTTTATCTTGTTGTGAGAGTGATGTTTCACATTTCTGCAAAGTGTGAATGCAACTTTAAATGGAATTTGTTAAAGTCAAAATTAATTGGATGGCTCACCTAATTAGTTACTAGACTGGACTATTTTTGCATTTTCTCAGAATAGTGAAGTTTTTTTGTTTGTTTTTTTCCCAGTCTATTAGAAGAAAACCTACGATACATTGCATGTATAGCCAGATTGCTGGAGAAAAACCATGACAAACCCACTGTGAAATTCTGGAGAGCTTTGTTACATAAAGCCTATGATGTATTGGACAAGGTAAGAATGTATTCTGTAAAACAGTTTAATTTCACTAGTGTTTAATTTCACTATTTTCATGCATTGAGCAATTTCATAAGGTTTTAATTTTGTGAAACAATACGTTATTGTTTAACATGTTCACATGGTTTGATTAAGCAAATTTTACTTATTGACAAAAATATTGAAATTTAAAACCAATGAATAATTGATATGTTTGCAGTAGTAGAATCTGTTTCACCTGTATATTGTCTGATTGCATGTGGTATTTGATATTATATTAGCAGTATGTCCACTTTAATAATGTAGTATATAGAGAGAGAGGTCTGTTCAAACCAACACAATAATTTATAAGATAATGAAATGCAATACAATGTCCATGTATAATGATATGTGATGAAATCCACATTCTGGTATAAATAATCACCATATTTAAAGAGGCAAAAATCACATAAAAACACTGGACAGTATTTTTAGAAAAATTGTTACCTACACATATCGTAAACCATTTAATAATTTTCACTTCTAGAAATCTTTGAAGATTACATGGCATTTGAAAAAGAAAGATTTTGCAAAACTGCTTGCAAAATTTCACAATTTTTACTGACTAGAGAAATTCGCAAAAAATTTTCTATTTTGAAATTAAAGCAGTTCACAGTATATTCATCAATGTTGTCAAATAATGCTCGTATGATTCATATCATCTCTGTGATTTGATTTCAGATAAATGCATTACTACCAACACATATATTCATCAATGTGGTATCTGGTCTCATGCATAATGACATCGCTGCCGTACGACGTAAAGCTATGGAGTTATTAAATAACAAACTAACGCAACATAAAGAACCGTTCAATGAACAACAGGTAATGTGAAATAACAGTATTTGAAATATGAATGCATAGTTTATTTTAAAATATTGCACAAAACCTTTATGTATATAATTGACTAATCCTCAAGGTCTTTTATATGGCACAACTATATCTGTGTGTAGCAGAATATGGACTTTATGTAATTATAAACATTGTGTTTTACAAATGTTTTGTACTTTGCTATGAGTCTAACAGGGCATGGCATGACCACAATCGCTCTTTAGTGTGTCACTTACATGCGAGTTTTATGCCGAAGCTTAACAAATTAAGCTTTCTTTTCTCGTTCATTTTTTATCCAGGTGTCACTTTTACTTGCGCTTGTTCCAGAACTTGTATCAGTAACCAAGGCAACCAAAATAGTCGGTGGTGGTTTGTCAGAACTTGATGTCAACCGACAGACCGCCCTCTATAGTCTCAAGTTATTGTGTAAAGTGTTGGGTTGTGATAATCCGCAACACTTTACTCCAGTAATGGATATCGTCACTAAAGTGTTCTCAACAAAAGACATCAACTCCCAGGTGAGTACTTTTGTTTTGAGTTCTATCTGTGAATGTAGATTTTTCTATCTGTCCAGCACAAGTTCTTGTAAATTTTGAAATGATGAATAGATTTTTTCCAAAGTTGGTGCAAAGACAAGACGTAAGTAATTGGAATACATTGGATGGCATTAGTTTAATGTAGTCCCTATACTGACTCAAAAGTTACTATATAAACATGGTTGAGCATACTGTCGTCTGTCGGCATTCACTAACTTAGGAAGATGCAGTAGGTGCCCCAACCAAGTACACAGCAAAGACTGTATTGCAATCCCAAATCATAGTGAAATTGTGGGGTTGTTTTGACAAAATCAAACCATGATTGAACACAAATCGACCACAAAATGTGCCTGCTCATGCATACTTACTATTATCCCCCAAAGCACTATAATTAGAATTGCGATATGGTCTTTAAGAACTCATCTGATAAAAACATTTTTTGACTGTGATTCACCGTTGTGCTACAAATATGTTTCCTGCAAACAATGTTAATAGACCCATGCATATGTCTTTACATCCCTACCTCAGAAGTACAATTACATACTTTATATCTAAAAATTGAATATATATTTTGTGTTTTTGTACAGGTTGCTGCTAGTGCACTGCTATGCTTGGCTGAGCTGTGTTCCAGTCTGAAAGCCCATTGTATTCCTTATTTGAACAAATTTATGCCTTCATTGGTAACAATTCTTGATAATAAGGACCATCTAAAAAGGTAAGAAAGAATATTTATGTTCATTTAGATATATTCCAAAAGTATAGAAAATATTATATCAAAATACAATTTCTTGTATATAGATAAAAACACAATCATTAGAAATCTACCAGTTTCAGAAGTATTGGGACAGCAATTTGGTGAATTAGCACTCAAAATTGCCAGCAGCTTGGAATTTGAATAAACAGTTGGCTTATTTTAGACTTGGGGGCACCAGTTGTTTGCTATGCATCCCATCTGGGATTCACAATATCTAAAGTAGTATGAACTGGTTTGAGTAATTGGCATTATCAAAATCAATTTCTGTGACTAATCTTACTACCATCATTTAATGCGTTTGTAATAAATTATTTGTTTAAATTCAGCAATACGTTAGCATTGTCCTGACACCTACTGCTATATGGATTCTTTTGGAATGGGTAAGACTACTAATTGGTGCCAGCAAGTTAGAAAAAATAACTGTCAAAACACAAGCTGAGAGCCAATTCTGAAGCTTGTTTGCCAACATGCTGTCTCAGTACTTTTGAGACTTATTAATTTACTTTCTATTGCAATACTATTTCACCTATTTTTTATTTTTTTTTTATTTAAGTCATGATTTGCTATTACTGAGTGCAGTTACTGCGTTACATAAAGTTGTGGATAATCTGACTCACTTCCTGAGCCCCTATCTGTTGGATATTTTGACAAAGGTAAGTCAGGTGACAGTCACATGACAGGAATGACCATATCTTTTGAATATAACAAGATGAGAGTATGCTACTTTCTTACCTTGCACATGGATATGCGATGAAAATCCCATGACAAGCAAACTCTGATGTCTTGTGAATATTTAAAGTGATCCTAATCTGTGTCAATCAATCAATCGTATTCCTAACAAATGGCACAGTGGAAGTTTAGAAATGTTGCAAACAGATATAAACGATCATTGCAAACAAAAATTTTCAAATAAGCAAGGATTCTAGCAAAAATGATATAATTATATCACTGGACACCATTATGTACATCAACTCTTATCTGTCTTCTTATATTTGTTTTGTTTTTAGGTGTCTGCTCTGTTTGCGCTGGATAAAGACGAGAAATCCCAACTAACGATGAGACTTAAAGCAATTCATCAGAAGTTATCTTCCACTGTGTCTCCAAGAGTTCTTCTACCTGTCATAACACAATGTTATCACCATGTCGTAGACGAACATGAGGTGAGTTGTCTTCCAGGGTAGCCCGCCCTATCACTATTGGAAATACAAAGCACATTGGTAGATCGAGAAATGACACTTTCTTGCTGTTGGTGGGAATTAAAACCTAAAAAATTGATTATAATATTCTAATTTAATGGTGAGAATCCAAATTTTCACCAATTTATTGGCGAGAATCAAATGTTGATCAGTGATAATTCTCACTGGCAGATGGTGTTACATCATGTTTGAAAATGTGGGTCATATTTATGTCGCATTCAAACTACTTTGTTTTCATCAAACATGGCAACAATCACGTTATTTTCTGCACTAATCTCGCTGGCATCTTAAAATGTTATCCCTGAAATATGACAAGCAGGGGAAAGTATGAACCCGGGCAGTACAGGATTGCCTTGACCTCCACTGCTCATTTGTTGAAAAGATCGCTGTACTTCCTTCATGTATACTTCACTGCATTTTTCTATTCTCGTAATTGGTAAACTTGTAAAAGTGATGACCACTTGTATCTTCTATTAGGATTTATAATTATTTGCATTAAAATATTTGATTTCAGCTTTCAATTATACCTTTGATGTCAGTCCTTGGGGATAGTATTTCAAGTATGTCTAAAGAAGATATGACTGCTCATCAGACGTCTCTACTCAATCTATTCCTGTCTGTATTCGATTACAGAGCATCTCATCCTCAGGTAGGCACAATATTTGAAATTCCCTCAATTTACCTTGAGAATGACTTTACATTCTCTGTCAAACATATTTTCATAATGTATAGTGTAATTCTAAAGAGATTGCATCAGACTAATATCTATGCTGGTCAAGGGATACAATGCATTTGTCGCAGCTAAAATGCCTTCGCAACAATGTATCTAATTTTAACAGGTATCTATGGTTACCATTGAAGAAATTGAAAGAAGTTCCATAAATGCTTTCTTGTCATTGGTTATGAAGTCATCTGAAGCAACATTCAAACCAATATTTTTCAAGGTGAGCATCTTTTCAGAATTGGAAATGTATTTGCTGATATAAAATAAAAAAAATTGTCAGACATCACTATGCAAGTTGTGACCCCAATATGAACTTTTACAACTGTGACCTCATGTAAACTAGTGACCCAAGTGTCCTCATGTAACCTAGTGACTCCAATGTGACCTTATGCTGCAGAGCTGACTCCAATGTGACCTAGTGACCCCAGTGTTATCTCATGTAACCGAGTGACTCAAATTGTGTAGCCTAGTGACCCCAATGTGACCTGGTGACCCCAATGTGGCCTTGTGTTGTCTGGTGACCCCAATGTGACCTTGTGTTGTCTGGTGACCCCAATGTGTCCTGTTGTCTGGTGACTCCAATGTGACCTGTCTGACATATCTTTTCCCATTTTTCAGCTCTATGATTGGGCTACACAGACTGGAGCTCATAAAGAGAGGTTATTGACTTTTTACCGTCTATCTGATAACATAGCTGAAAAGCTAAAGGGATTATTTACTCTCTTTGCTGGACATATTGTAAAAAACTGTGCTACTTTGTTGAATGACAACAATTCTTCAAAAACAGGTAACTATGCAATACTGACTGTGAATGCATGGCTTCCATGTATGTGATTGTCTGTGATGCACATCAGAGATTTGGCTTGCACATGTACACCTAGTCACTGTAAAGGAATGTACATTTCATGCTATTTGGATTTTTACGGCACTTAATGTGGTGTGTCAGCTTACTTTAGGCACTTTATCCTGCTCGTTTCTATGTTTGTACTCAATATGCATGCAGTGTATGCTTGGTTAACATGTGTCAAGAATTGCCACTTACCTTTGGTATTAAACTGGTGTATAGTAGGGTGACTCAGAACTGAACTGCATATCAAAAACATTTAATATTAATTGTTGATGGCTTAATATGTGATGAAACAAGAAATATCTTAAACATCAGTGCATATGTCCTTTTTAGTTAATATGACATCTAAAAATATTTTCTTTATAGATTTAAAGTTTTTTGAGATCGATGGGGATGAAGATGAAGAAGCCCAGAGTGTAGATGAGAAATCTACTTTGTTGCTACAATACATCATTGGTTGTCTTCATAAGTGTTTTCTGTATGATACAGAAGGATTTCTGAATCGGGAGAGATTTGAATGTTTGATGCAACCAATAGTAGATCAGGTATCTATGAATTTATTTCAAGTTTTTTAGAACTAATTTAGATTATTCAGAGACCTTTTCTTGCTGTGTAAAATAGTTTTGCGGATTTCTAGTCAAATGTTGCGAGTCAATTTGCAAAAATAAATTTGATAATTGTTTTTTTGAGGATCATGTTGATCATATATACATTTCCATCCTTATTCGATCATGGTCAATGATGTCATCTATCATGTTTGGTCTATGTCATCCATCTTTGCTGGGAATATCATTGATTTTTTGGTGATGTCATCCATCTTAGTTGGTGATGTCATCCATCTTTGTTGGGGATGTCATCTATCATCATGGTTCTATTTTATTTTTTCAGATTGATAACCTACAAGGCGGTATTGAAGTCTACAAAGAAAGAATGACATCATATCTTACACCATGTATTGGTCAGCTGCTTGTTGCTGCTGGTGATGATTCGTCATGGAAACCGCTTAATTATCAAGTTTTGTTGAAGATGAGAAGTGATTCTGCAAAGGTAATTTATTGACTTGACCTAACGTGGTTGACTTGTATTCCTATCATCAGTTATCATGGTTATGTTGACTGTTTACCAATCAAACCCTTTTTATATAACTAAGTTTGCAGGCTATTCCATTTAAAGTTGATATAAAGGTTAATTATAGTAGGTCTCAAATTGCATGTATTGTTTGTTTTTTTACTAAAAATGTCTGCCTGGCAACCATTTTGTTGTATCAAGCATTGTTATGTAACTAAAGCCTACACATTATCATTTGTATTGCTTAAAATGCTGTAAGATCACAGGTAACAATTCCTGTGTATGTCAGTAATGTCATTTATTGTGAGTCTTAATTTTGTTTTCAGGTCCGCTTTGCTGCACTTACAGTGTTACAAGAAATTCATAGTAAACTTGGTGAAGATTTTCAGATTCTGATTCCAGAAGCTATTCCATTCTTGGCTGAACTATTAGAAGGTGATTACCATTTTAATTGTCATTGATAGTTGTGAATATATGCTGATTTTATTTTGTGGATTTCAAAGATAGACTGATTTAGATTTAGCAAGCCTTCATGTTTGCTAATGACCATTAACAATTTTAGTTCCTATATGCTCCTAATTGTAAACTTGTAGGTGACCTAACTTCTGATCATTGTAGAATTTGCGGCACCACAATTGTTTTTTTTAAATTATTGGACCTTTAATGTATGTTTTTAATATAACATTTTTTTTCTTTCTATTGTTAGATGAATCAGAAGAAGTTGAAAAACAGTGCCATCAAGTTATAAGAAGAGATTGAGAAAACATTTGGGGAGTCGTTACAAAAATATTTTTAATGACAGATTGAAAATTATATAACTTTTTATAACTTTTTTTTTGATTTCTTGTTGAAATGTATTCAAAGAAGTACATTGGCTAAGCATTGTTATACAAGTTTCCATAAAAATCATGTCAGAAGGTGGCCAATTTTATTGTTTTTTGGTATATTAAAATATGTGCATATTAATTAGCTTAATTTGCGTATAATGTATTTTGATATCTCCAGACGCGTTTGCTGGATTGTGAAACTAAATCGATGTTTTCCTTACAACATCAGATGAATTGGTTGGTGCTTATTGAATTTTTTAATTAAGCATTTACACAGTAACAGGAGATTCAAGTGAAGGCAAATTTAATGAAGGTATTTTTCAAGATCTTGATGGCTTGTACTTTTATAAGCTAATTAAAGTTACAATTCTCACACATACATGTAGTCCAAATGGTTAATTGTATCTGGTTAGTTAGTTTTTGGTGTATACCGTATCCTTCATATAACCTAATTTGCATGCTATACATGTATTTGCCTGTTCTAGCATATTAAACCATATTACTGCTATATTAGATACATTGTATATCGCTAACAAATCATATACTAAGTTGGACGGTGTAGTAGAAATAATACTGTGCATAATGACTGAGATCTATCCTTTGCTTGTTATTTTGAATAATATTCTAACATTTGGATTCTCATAGATTTTTCTCCACATTTGAATAACTTGCTACGCAGTATTTCAAAAGAAGGCAGAATCATCCTCCCATTAAAACTAAATAAAGCTAAATCAATGCTGGATCAACTTATCCAACACTACTACGACTTCCGCCCTTTAAGTTACAAAGATCATACCATATTTTTAAATTTAATAGGGGAGCGGGGGTAAATCAGTCATAAATCATTACAGGCATAACAGAGTCCAGTCAATACAGGAGCATCTATATGATATGACTGAGTTGTTCACTACATAGCAAATTATTTATATTCTTGTATAAGAACAGTCACACCCGTTATAATTTAAGTATTGAGTTTTTTCATCACAGTTTGTGCATTTGGGCAATACAGCGATGATTCACAATAACAGAATCTCGCATTTTTCTCATTGCGTAAATATAGCTTATAAATGTGGTTTTTTAGTGAGGACATCCTTTGACACAATCTCCAGCTTATGCTTTGTTTATTATTGAGTAACGTTCAAATTAAATTACATTAACCTCATAAAATAATTTTATTTTGACATTTATTATTACAGTCTACTCAAATCACATGGAAAGAACGACACTGTATATATGCCATTGTAATATCAAGGATTCCATATATGATCTATTCTACAAGAATTATTATCAAACATGAACACGTTAATGTATGCACATCTTCTTAAGTGATGATCACTTGCATACGGTGTACTCAGTTCCACCTGCTGACCCTAGACAACTGAACCACTGATTACGGGGATATTCTTATCTTAAGTTGCCATTACCATAACCAATAAATTCAAACCACTCGTCTTCACTTCGAGAACAATCCATATCTACATTTAACATCCAGTAATGCACACCATATATGTTCATAACCATAACCATCTCTCGCCACACTTGTTGGGTGGTCGGGATCATCTGTTGTCCAAACCATTGGTGATCCATCTGCTGGGACACCATTGTATTCACCTTGGTTGGATTCGGCACCATACCAGTCTAAGTATTCATTCGTCTTCCACGAGTTATATTTAAAGTTTCTGCCTCCTGTAAGGTGAACAATTGGTATTGAGCAGTTGGTAGATTAGGTCAGGTCATCTTCACATTCACAACGTTGGGTCTCGTCAATACCCACCATGCAGGAAGATACTGTAACTCGGTGTTGTTTCTTTCTTTAGAAATATAGTATGCTTGTGCGGCTCTGATTGTTCTGTAGTTTGAGGGGATGTGATGTATGCGGTGGTTTTGTCTGCTGTTATTATTTGTGTGGTAGTTGGAGGACCTACTGTAGTTGCTCCGCCAGATGGACAGTATGATATTTCATTATGAACATTACACATGGAAAGCAACCAAACGATCTTCTATTTCATGTGGGATACAAATGCGTGCATACCCATTTTCGTCTACTGCAATGGTATACCAGCTACAAGTCTGTGTTGCATGATCGTAATCACCGTGGATAATATCGCAACAATATCTCTCTGGAAGGCCAGTGTACAGGAGTTCACCAAGTGTATAGTCATCCAAGTTAAAGGCAATGAACCCTTTTATTGCCTCAAGAGAATGCGATTTGGTTATTGTCATTATCCCACCAGTTGTCCATCTCTTCTCCCTTCACAACATTCCTGAAAGTTACCATATTTTTGGTTGATCGCCATCTGTGTTCACACACTCATCCATTTACATAGTTTCCTTCATTATCGTGTACGTCTTTAGTTATGTAATCCTCGTCATGTGGCGTCCTTCCCATCCAAATTCCCATTGATAACTGCTCATCAACCGTGTAAAACCATAATCCCATGCTAACATAAACGCATTTGCCAGTCTGTACTCCTTTGGGTGTTGGTGGATGATTATGTCAAACCCGATTGAACCATTGGTACATTGATTTTCCTGGTTATCAACAAATACCAAGGCATCGCCACTTGGTAAAAGCCCCAAACTTTCATCAAATGTTGCCAGACATTTAAGCCTGTCTTCACCACGGGGGAAAAAACTAGTTAGATCAGCGCCATACTTAACTCCGTGACATAAACAATGTAATTGTATTCGTACTTGGTGATTGTTGAGTTACCAAAGTCGACGACCTCCTGATATACAAAAGGAACCGCACCAGATGAAAAGTAGTCAGTGTTTAAATTGTCCAGCTCATCATTATATGTATGATCTAAGTCTGCAGGTGAAATGTATTTAGCTGACTCAATACGAAACCCGGCAACGCCAATATCGATCGGGTCATTCATGTATTCAGCAACTTTTTAACAGACTATGTGAGATTCAGATCTAACAGACCCATTAGATTACAGTTTCGAACCTCATCTGGGTCGTTATAGTTGTTAACTCATCCATCGTTAGAGGAGCATTCATCTGGGCCATGGAAATCACCAGAGTTGAATGGAACCACAGGAAAACGCTTGATGCTAGCATCATAGTAGCTGCCACCAATAGCGTAACCAGAACCTAGGATTAGAGAATTATACCTGTCAAAAATGGTCACATAGCTTGGTGGCTGGTACAAGTATGTTTTGCTTCATTTGATTATGCCATCTATAAATTTGATACAACACAACGTAATTATATGTAGACAAATTATTACATTTATTACGTCTAATGAAGTTGATAATCCGATTGTGTAATGTATTTGTTATTTACTTTACTTTACTTTTGTAAATAGTTTGAGGGTTTGACTTATTCAGGGGTTCAAACATGTGTTTGACATATCCAGGGACCTATTCAATAAATGTGTTTGACATATCCAGGTGATGTGTCATACCTGCATCCTCAGAAGTCATATGATTTATGTTGACGTCTGCATATATGCGTACACCAGCCTTATTGCATCCATCCACCATATCAACGAACTCGTCACGATTACCACTACGACTCTCTATCATACAACTCACAGGTTGGTATCGTTCATGCCATGGTCTGTCTGGTTCCAATATTATTCTATGTTCATTGGGCGGGGATACTTGTACAGCTCCATAACCCAAGGGAACAAGAGACATACAAACGAACGAATACACTAAGGTGCTATTTTATTCAGACATTTAGTATTATTTAATATGATAGCAATTATTAGACTTATGTTTTGACCTGCGTGCGTGCGTGCGTGCGTGCGTGCGTCCGGACCTGTGTCTTAGAAATGCCTGGACCAATTACAATCAAACTTCACACATACATCATACATAACATTATACATATGCACATCAATTTGTTTCACGATCTGATTCAAGATGGCCGAATGGCAGCCATTTTGTACTAAAATTTCATCAAAATTAAGCATTTCTCAGCTGTTTACAGATGGATTTTGTTCAAACTTGGTATATACATTGAACATTATAGGATCTTGATGCACATCATTTTGTTTTTCAAATAATATGGCACTAGA